CCCAAACCGAGCACTTGGGTTAACGTGAAACATAATAGCGTAAGACTGGGTTCCGGCAAACCTATCGTACTGCAAGAATCTGTCTAACTCCGAGGGGATTCTCGCTGAATTGCATTCGGTTTCAGCGGCTTTTAAAAATGTCTGTCAAGCTGCTTTGGGGTAATTAACTATCGTGCACGCTTAAACTGAACGCAATTTAGCGAGAATCCTCTTGGAGATAGATCGATCCTGATAGCACGATAGGGTTATGGGAATGGTTCCTAAGTTAACTAATCCAAGCTGCACTCTGGGGAGTCATTCCACATAAAAGTGAACGATTTGTTTTTACTAACCCGAACCCCATACAGGCTTTAAAGTAAAACCTTCACAAAAGCAGGGCACTTCGGGCTCTCATCTATTTGCTGCGAATTCGCGACAATTTGTGACAAAGTTGCAGAAATGTCTTGCAAATTAGCAGAAAGTTTTTAGCAAATTTGCAATAACTTCTTGCAAATAAGCAGCAAATTTGTAGCAAATTTGTACCGCATTTGCGAGAGAGTTTATTTGCAGCAGGCCTGATATTTTGCTAAAGGGTCCCATTTATTCCGGGTTCATAAGGGGACCGATTTATTCTGTGGTTCATTTGCCATTTAATTGTGTTTCACTTTACCATGTTGATTTTTGTCTTAGGGGGCTACTACACCGTTAGTATAAGACAAGGGTTGGTGGCCGTTGTGTTGAACACAAACTTATATTATGGCAGCAACAAAGTGACTGCTGACATCAGTGATCACGCAGGACAACTTCAGTGGTTTGATAAGGTCTTAAAACAGGCTGCTCAAAATGGCAATAAGGTAAACTAAAAAGGAATACATACTCGACATTTGATATTATATTGAATATTTCAGTTTCAAATGTATGTCTTGGTAAAATTAATCGTTTAAAAAAACATATCCCATGTGAGATATGTGGATAGGGGAATGTGTAGGCAGTATGGTCAGCACCAAGTGACCGAGCTTGTCTGTGGCACTCCTGCAGCACAAAATAAGCTTTGATGGGATAGTATTCTTTGGATTGGTCCTTGTGTGACTGTGGGCCTTAACGAAGCGTGTCGCTTCTGGAGTGACAGGACGATGAGGGCATCTTTATTTGGGACAAAATAAACGTTGGTGCCAGCCATGTGTTTTCGTTTGCTACATTGATTAATTCAGTTTAGGTACTGATGTCACAATGGCACTAAAGAAATTATTCAAAATTATTAAAAAATATCTTTTCCTTAATCGGCTAGAAGAATTGGGAAGTCGAAGAATAATCGTTTGTAGAAAATATCTAATTAAATGTAAAGTCGGCATACAGGAAATTTATAATTTAACAGTCAATCTCGATTTACAGTGTTCTTAAGGCAATCCCTTTCTGGAATAAGGAAGGAAGGAATGTCTTGACCTGATCTTAAAATCATTTTCTTTGAAAAGTAAACCGACATTTTTTAAATAATTGTCACTTACAAATTTTCACACCTTGTATTTGCAATATTTTTTACTCGGTTCCTTTCTTCGTTTTGACTAGGCCTATGTGATTGCACATATTCCAACTGGTATGCAGGGAAAAAGAGTTTTAATGATGAGACCACATTTTAACAAGAGATTGAATGAGCTCATCATCAAATACAAGAATACAATAGCAGCCATGTTTTACGGTCATCAGCACACTGACACGTTCAAGCTTTGGTACGATCAGGGTACGTATACCACAATCCATTAAGCCTCGGTTTATAGGTACAGGGGTAGTGTAAAATTACTGTAAAATTCGCAGGTTTAAAAACCAGCCGCGAAGATAGTTTTTCCATTAGTTTTTGCTGCAATGGACTGATGACCAATGTCTTGTGTAAGAGCAAGCTTAAGTAAACAATGCGGCAAATTAAGAATAGGATTTATCGAAACGTTTATTATTTAGTATTTATGAAAAAAAAAGAAAATGCTTTATAACCAACAGTTCTTTTTATTAGGTGAACCAGTAGCGTTTGGACTGATAGCACCATCAATAACACCAACCCACAACCCAGGAATCCGGCTCTTACGATATGATAGACTGACTTTCCAACTAACAGACATTTGGCAGTATTACCTGGAATTGCCTGATGCAAATAGCAAGTCCAAGGCTCAGTGGAAACTACAATACAAATTCAGTGAGGCATATGGCGTTCACGAAATTTCCTCCACCTCACTGGCGCAGTTGGTGTCCAATTTGGAGAAGAAGACCGATGTTTTCATGAAGTATTTCCGTTATAACATAGTCAGTGCTAAAGGCGAAAGTGTTCCTACATCCTGTGACACCAATTGTCGGCGACTTTATATCTGTTCTATTAAAGAAGTAGACGTTGATGGATATAATAAATGTGTTAAACCTGTGACCAGTAATGGCTTCAGGCATCGGGGAAATCTTCCCTGGAGTTTTTATTTTCTTTTTACTACGATAATTGTCTCCGGGAGCATCAGTAAAAATCAATTTTTGTAGTTGTCCCGGAAATGATAGTTATAAGGTTTGCCTTCCTTTTAAGATAATATGAAATAGCCTTTGAAATGTAATTGTTTACGAAAATAACGAATGGCAAATAATAAACACACGCAACTTTATTATTTTTAAGACTTCATAATTATTATTTCATTATAGTTTATTCATAACAAAAAATATATTTCAGGGCCCAGCAACAACTGTACGTATGAGGCCAATATGGATTCATTTCAAACAGACATTAATGTTCATTATTTAGAAATAAAATGACATTAGATTTATTTTTGTTATGCCAAATGCTTTACGCATGTAACAGGGCAGCAGGATGCAAGTCAATGCATTAAAAGGTACAGTACATATGAACCGAGCATCGGCGGAGCGGGGATTCCCAGTAACACATATAAACCACTTCTACTAGTTTCTTATACGACTCAAATACAGTCGACATGCCAAGGGATAAACTGAATAAATCACTCGTTCAGCCATAAAAGAGCTTTAGACTGCTATTTTTTTCTAATTGTTGGTCGGAAATTTAACTTACTTATGTGACCTACTTTTCTGTCCCATGTATATAAAGCATAGAAAGCTAGCAGAAAAATCCGTTTTGTGGGAAATATTAAACAATGTATTTGAGTAATTCTCTTAGTCACACCATTAGAAACTATATCCTGGCATTTTTGGGGGTTTTTTTTGGCAAAAAATTGACTTCAAATGTACATGTATCTTTAAATGTATTTGTTTCAAATAGTTGATATTAACGTACATGTATTTGCAATTAAAAATGTTTGAGCCCTCCGAGTTGAAGGTGAGGTACAAACCATTTATGTGGAACTGCAGCTACATACACATGCACTGCCTTGCTTGTTTCAGAGCCCGAGCGAAAAGGAAGGGGTAAGCCACATGTACAACCAACGGGAGCCGGGTGCATTTTTGGGAGGGGGGTGGATAGGAAGGTTCTATTTCCCGCTTCCATCGACATGTTTCCATGTCAAAACAGAAAGGTTTCTGGGAATCTAAGGAGGGGAATACGCATCCTTCTGATCCACCTTTCTGCATCTGCCTGTATATGCAGACCTCTTCTAACGAGAAAGAACTATGTAAAATCACTCTTGAACTAGTGACCGCCGACATTCTCATAAACCGTATGGAAAACAAAAAAAACGGACACCATTTTCAGTGTTGTGCTTGACATGCTCTAAAAAATGCATAAAAAAGAGGTCTCTAGCATTTACCGTTCCAGAATTAGAGAGAGTTTTCAGTTTTGGCATCTAATGCTTCTCCAGTAAAAATGCACTAATTGACCCCAAACTCGCTACGATGAAAGATGACCCTAAGGGTAACACATGCCCATAGTATTATAGGTTAGGTCTGTGTAGTTCTAAACTCTGCAGAAAAAAAATTAACGTCAAAGGTCAATTTAAAGGTCACAGTTATAGCCAGTATATGACTTTCTATTCAAGTTCAATAGTAACTATTGGTGTATCTCTGCCAGTTCTTGAGATATAATGGATGGAAATTTTGCATGTTTACAGTGCATTTATTTTAGAATATAGATCTCATACGAAGAGTTGTTATCCTTTTAACTGTCGTTCATTGCACATGGCTTATCTCTACTTTCATCACTTTTCTCCGATACGCGAATTTTAGGGATAGAAACTTGCCTAGAAACATATATTTTATGTGATATTTCCATTCTAAGATACATTTATTAGTCCAGTTTGCTTTGATACTTCATCATGCTATACATTGTTTTCAACCATACACACATGTAACAAAACTAACATTTATCTTTATTCAAACACATTAATTCCCCCAAAGAATATCTTTAGTTTCTGTGATGTACATTTTGTAAGCCATATCTTTAAAGATGCATACAAAGTCAATTTTTTGTCACAAAAACCAACCAAATGCCAGCATATAGTTTCAAGTAGTATAACTAATAGAATTACCAAAAGGCATTGTTTAATTTTACCCGAAAATGATGTTTGAATGGATTTTTTCTGCTGCCATTCTAAGCTGTATGTCAATGGGTCAGGAAAGTAGGTCACGGAATTAGGTTAATTTTACAACAAAAATTTAAAGAAAGGAGCAGTCTAAAGGTCTTTTATGGCTGATCGAGTGATCTTTTCAGTTTATCCCTTGGCATGTCGAATTTATTTGAGTCATATAAGAATCTAGTAGAAGTGGTGTACATATGTGTTACTGGGAATCCACGCTCCACCGATGCTCGGTTCGTATGTACCTTTAATGTAGTTAAACCAATCTGTTCAGGTGATTTTTATGCTTGCCAAGTAAACGTTGTGACTAAGCTCTTTTTATTACGAAATTAGAACTGCGACACACGTGTCATCTTTTAAATCAAAATTTACATTGTAATAAACTGAATTAGAAACTCCGTGTTCCAAGTTCAAATTTTACCTAGAGTGAACCTTTCCCCATTAAAAAGGGCAAACCCCCTGAATCCCCCCCCCCCCCCCCCCCCCACTGGCTATGGATTTGAATTTTAACTTGGATTAGAATCGTTATAGAAATCGTTATAAATAGTGATTTTCATTCCAGATACCATAACTAACATGATTAGTTGAACAGAAAATATAAACTACAGGTAGCGGTGAAGATATCAACATTTGATACCATTTGTTCACATTTATTACATGTACCCCCTCAAATCCGACGTTTTACTGTGATTTTCACAGTGGTAGAGAAATGTCCATTAAATTGAAAAGACACCAGCAAATGTCACCAGACACGTGACACGTGATCTTTCACGAGCACGCCCTAACGCTAAATGTGTGTAAATTTGGTGACATTTGGTGGTGTCTTTTCAATTTAAGGGGCATTTCTTTACCTCTGTGGAAATGACAGTGGAACAGCGGATTTGATGACTTTATTTGAGTCATTTAAGAAACTAGTAGAAGTGGTTTATATGGGTTACTGGGAATCCACGCTCTACTAATCCTCGGTTCATATGTATATATGACCTCGTGTCTAAGCATATTTCATATTTTATAAAATATGCATCAGCTTTTATGCCTAACGTAAGTGCCACATAATATGCAGGTCATATTTTCAACTAATGCAATTGGTGCTTACATTCGGAAACAGTGGTACAGCCATGCAGCATAGTCGATCAAACATTTGAAAGGTGATTATTTTTGGGGATATTTGGAGTCGAGGGAATGTACATGTATTCTGCTGATAGTCATATAAATATTTATTTGTTACCTTTGTGGTGTTTTCGTGGATCTGACCACACGGAAATCTGTCGTTCATTTTTCCGGAGGGAATGCAGGAAATATACAAATTCCTTTCGACTGTGTTGCAAACATTCAAAAAGGTATAATTATGAAATGATATGATATTATGATGACATTTATGATAAATGATAAAATTTACACAGGATTCAGATTGGCATTAGTTGGATTATACAGGGTGTCTCAATATAGACAAACCCATTGATATGGTAATAATTTAGTACTGACACAAGTAACTGAGACAAGATAACATTCCTTGAAGCTGATATAATAACAATTTAAAAAACATTGATTTGCTGTCTCTGGCTCAAAGAGTACACTTTGTACAGCATGTGTTCGAAATGTCGACAAAACAAGATCAAAGAGAAACCTGGCTGATGTTTGCTTCAGCGACGAAGCACACTTCTGGCTGCGGCCATGTCAACAGCAAGAACTATTGCCGATGGGGCACAGAGGCCCCAGACGAGGTGCTACAGGAGCTCTTGCACTGTGTGAAATGCACGGCATGGGTACCCTAGGTTCTAGATTCCGGTATTGTCAGCTCGATCTTGATTTCATATATAACCCATATCAACAATACCGGTAGTAAAAGCCACTCCATCACAAGGTATATTTAACAAGCTAGCTTTTACGTTGCTCTGACACTCAGGGTAGGCATGGGTGGCCATTTCAAAACTTAAAATATTTGGACCATTTTGGTTTGAGAACGCAGACGAGAAGGCAATCGCTGTCACATTCTGGAGGGTACTTGGAACACGTCGTGGTGTGAATCGAGCTGCACATCGCTTCCAACGAGATGGGGGTCTCCGAATTCACCCGATCTGAACCCCCAGATTTTTTATTGCTGGGGATTCTTGAAGGACAACGTGTATGAGAACAATCCACAATCTCATTGCTGAACAAGTGGTCATCGACCAGAAGATGCGTGCCATACCGAAAGAAGAGTGTGTCAGGGTGATTGACAGCTTTGCTTCGTCGCATTCAAGTGCTTCATCAGCGCATTGGTGGCCATTTTCAACAGGGGCTGTAAAAATGCATCCCTTAAGCTAAAGACAACAAATCAATGTTTTTTATTTGTTATAATATCAGCTTCCGTCTCAGTAATATAACATTATCATATTTATATGTTCCATCTATATTGAGAAACCCTGTATTATGTGTTATTTCCAGGTGCAGAACTGGGTCAAGCTTCAGTTTAAAATGGCATCATGTATGTATACAGTATTCATGCTGGTTGGTCTGGTGTCAGTACCACAGGTTATTGGAGGCATTGGTAAGCGTATTATATAAAACAAAATGTTTTACTTTCATGAAAATAAAAATGCATTTTTCTATCTACAAGTACTGGAATCATTTAAATTGATGATATCGTATGTTGACCCTGTAAATTGATTAGTCCCTCTAGATTTTAGCTATACGCCATCCATATTCAATCTGTACGTGTGACGATTAATGAAAGTTTGGAAGTGTTTTAAACCGTTTAACTTTTGACCTATTATACTGGCACATGTACACATTACATGTGGAATGTTGGTTATTGATAGTCATCAACTGAAGAGAGTAGAGTTGACGACAACGAATTCAAGCTCTCTTACCTCTGAAGTTGCATTCTTTTGAAGTAATGAGAGGGCAATATGACAATGGAATTTGATTGAGAACAAATTGAGAAAATCTGAAGGCCAACGTGGTTCTAACAAGTGTAGTATAATCTGTATTGATAGACGTTCAAAGTATGGAGTCACTTCTGCTTACTCTGAATACGTTAGTATAATTTATTTTTACATGCAGTCTGTGGTCGTCAGTGAATTATATGTTACCCGAATTACATAAACAATTAGTTCATTTGGCTAATAAAATGTAACATGACACCTTCTTTACTTCCCATTTTATTTTGCGGGTACCACATTGTTGAAATGACATTGTTGAATTGTAGCCGACAATTATGTCTATACCGGTAGTAGTATAAAGCATTTAATAATAATTAAAAATAATTACTGTTCACGGAGGATTTGTAATTGTTAAGCCCGTACTTCTATGTGCATTAAAGTCAGCCTGCATATTTTGTATTTTTTTT